CTGATGATTCGTGGCTCTGGACGCCCGAGTTATCCGGGTTAACTCGGGTCCGGGGTAAGTCGGGTTTGGACTCCCGAAAAAAGGAACCCGAGTTAGCCCTGACCCGAGTTACCCCTGATGATTCGGGGCTCTGGACGCCCGGGTTATCCGGGGTAACTCGGGTCCGGGGTAAGTCGGGTTTGGATTCCCGAGAAAAGGAACCCGAGTTAGCCCTGACCCGAGTTACCCCTGATGATTCGGGGCTCTGGACGCCCGAGTTATCCGGGGTAACTCGGGTCCGGGGTAACTCGGGTTTGGATTCCCGGAAAAGGAACCCGAGTTAGCCCTGACCCGAGTTACCCCTGATGATTCGGGGCTCTGGACGCCCGATTATCCGGGGTAACTCGGGTCCGGGGTAACTCGGGTTTGGATTCCCGGAAAAGGAACCCGAGTTAGCCCTGACCCGAGTTACCCCTGATGATTCGGGGCTCTGGACGCCCGAGTTATCCGGGGTAACTCGGGTCCGGGGTAACTCGGGTTTGGATTCCCGAAAACGAACCCGAGTTAGCCCTGACCCGAGTTATCCCCCCTGATGACTCGGGGCTCTGGACGCCCGAGTTATCCGGGGTAACTCGGGTCCGGGGTAACTCGCGTTTGGATTCCCGGAAAAGGAACCCGAGTTAGCCCTGACCCGAGTTACCCCTGATGATTCGGGGCTCTGGACGCCCGAGTTATCCGGGGTAACTCGGGTCCGGGGTAACTCGGGTTTGGATTCCCGGAAAAGGAACCCGAGTTAGCCCTGACCCGAGTTACCCCTGACGATTCGGGGCTCTGGACGCCCGAGTTATCCGGGGTAACTCGGGTCCGGGGTAACTCGGGTTTGGATTCCCGGAAAAGGAACCCGAGTTAGCCCTGACCCGAGTTACCCCTGATGATTCGGGGCTCTGACATGCACCGAGCGATGCCAAGCCTCCGCGGACGCCCGTGAGCCTCCGGACGCCCACGAGGCGCCTCCGAGGACTGCCGAGAGCCTCGGAGGCTCTCCGCAGGCCTGCGAGGGCCTCCGAGGGCCTCCGACCCCCTCCCCCCGGAGCCCTCGAGAGCCTCTTCGATGGCCTCCGAGAGAGCGGAGGCTGGCGGCGCGCACAAGGGGGACGGCGGGGTATGGGGGAGGGTTCTCAGAAGGAGGCTGCTTCTTGGAAGGCGTCGGGCTGGCGGCGCGCACAAAGGTTTGGACGCCCGACATGGGCACCGAAAGAATGGGTACGATGCCCAACAGCAAATGTTGTCCCAAGCCAACAGCGGCCGCTGTTGGGCGGGCGGCCTCCTGTTTCAAATGGACACAGGCCGCGGCGGCGCGGACAGCGGATCCTGTTCAAAATGAACAGGAACTGCTGTTGGGCATAGTACCCATTCTTTCGGTACGCATTTCGGGCGTCCAGAAAAGGGGACAGCGGTGTATGGGGGAGGGTTCTCAGAAGGAGGCTGCTTCTTGGAAGGCGTCGGGCTTACATTGCCAGACATGGCCCGCGCCTTCGAAGAGGCAGGGGTGCTTCTGAGGAGCCTTCCCCCCTCCCCCCTAACCCCCCTCTGCGCGTGGCTGGGGAGGGGGGCCCGCTAAGGTGAGCTCAGTGCGCCGCGGGCGTGGCGCCGCCGGCGCCTGGACCCGGTCGATCTTTCGCACGTCGTCGAGGTTGTCGATCTGTGGCGAGAGGCCGCCGTGCTGCGCAAAGATCTTGTTGTCCTGACGCGCAGGGCGCGCGCTCGGGTCGGACGAAGAAGGCGGGGTGCAGTCCGCCGACCACCCGCGCCTGGACCGAGAAGGGCTGCAATATGATGAAACGGAAGCTCCTCCTCCTCCTCCTCCAAGTCCTCCTCCTCCAAGTCCTCCTCCTCCTCCTCCTCCTCCTCCTCCTCCTCCTCCTCCTCCTCCAAGTCTTCCAGGGAAGCAGCCGAGGGCGCGGCGGGGCGCGCCCTGGACGCGCGAGGCGCGCCAGGCGCCGCGCGGCCCCCGCCAGCGGGCGCGCGGCCCTCGCGTCCGGCGGCACTTGAGGGCTTCAGTTGAGGTGAGGGGGGGCCCCAGGTCCCCGTGGGCCTGGTCAAGACTGGCCTCCTTGCGGCGGCGAGCGAAGGGGGGAAGAAGAGAGAAAGAGACGGCCTTCTCAGAAGGCGGCGTGGCTTCTCAGAAGCCCTCCGGCCTTCTGAAGGCTTAGGGAAATTCTCAGAAGGCCGGGGGACTTCTGAGCCTTCTGAGAAGGCCTACCCCTGCTCGCTTCCCCGCCTCGCTCGCCGCCGATCCATACTACGCTCCGAGCGGCACCAAAGCACGGCGTCCCCCAGATCCAGGAAGCCATGCAACGCAACAGCCCTGTACAAATCCAGGGGTTCGGGAACCTCTTGCCAGCACGGAGTCCCCCTCCACCCCTTCCCCGTCCCCATGGCCTCGGAAATCCTTTTCGTGAGTCCGGGGGGGGTTCCCCCCACGAGGTCGACACAGCCTCTGGGGCCCTCGGAGAACAAAATAATCTCCCCCCCGTGGCCGCCGAGATGCCCAAGATGCCTTCTAAGATGGCTCCGACAAACTGGAGATGCCTCAAGACTGCGACTGCCCAAGACGCACCCCTTCTTCGTCTGCTTCTTCTCCTCCCTCTGCTCCTGATCAGTGTCTCCTGATCTCGCTGCGTCTCCTGCTCCTCCTCCTCCTCCTGCTCCGTTTCCTGCCACTGTTGGTTTTAATCCTCATCTTTCTTCTCGTTCTCCTCTTCCTCCTCGTTTGCGGAGCCAAGTTCTGCTCTCGCAGCATGTCAGAGCGGCACGTGCAGTCGAATGTGAGCGGGCTCGTCTTGCTCTTTCATTCCCATCCCCCCCTCCCCCCCCCTCCTCTAGCCTCAACCTCTCTCCAACTCGTGTTCCTGCTCCTCTTGCTGTTCCTTCGCCCCTCCTCGTGTTCCTCCCGCTCCCCCCTCCTCGTGCTCCTCCAGCACCTTGTGTGCCCCCCCCCCGCACAGGATAGAAGCGAAGCCTGCATACCTGGTCCGTTTCATTGTCTCACTGGCCCAAATACCAATTAATGCAGAGCAGTGCGCTCCACAAGCGCTGTCAGCGGCAAGTAGTCGAACAAGTCGGTGAAACATTTCCAAGTAGTCCCCTCGAGCGCGGGCGGCCGACACACACACACACACAGAGACACACACACACACAGACACACACACACACACTCACACACACAGACGCACACAGACACACACACAGACACACACACACAGACACACACACAGACACACACACACACACCACACACACCCACACCCACACCCACACCCACACCCACACCCACACCCACACCCACACGCACACTCACCCAACCCACACCCACACCCACATCCACGCAAGCACGCACACACACACACACAAACAAGCACATATACGTAGCACCCCGCAAATGCGGATAAGAGTGAGGGGGAGGTGGGGACGTTGGCAGTTTGCGAGACTCTGGAGAAGCCGGCATGAGGAGCCAAAGTTTCACGAATCATACAACGAGCCCGCCGCAGGCGCCGATTTTTGCGTTAAGCCAATGTGGGTAGGTCGCGGGTGGGTCGCTGTTGGGTCGCGGGTGGGTCCGGCGGGTGCATAAGGCAGAAAATCCACCCCCGCTGGCGAGGGGTCCCCTGACCACTGACAGCCGCATCTCAGGTCGGCTCACCGGGAAGCAGAGACGCCAGTGCACGTGGAGAAAGGTTTGGCCGCTCATCCCTGCCCCCCCCCCTCGGATGTGGGCCAGTTGAGACACCCGAGTGAAGAGCAGGACGAGGAGGGAAGTGGAGAATGAGGGAAGAGGAAGGCTGGACGAGGAGGGACTAGGACGAGGAACGAGGAAGGATGAGGAGAGACGAAGTGGAGGGCCAAGGAGGAGGGACGAGGAGGGACGAGAATGGACGAGGAGGAGGGACGGGGAGGAGGGATTAGGAGGGAAGAGGTGGAGGGACGAGGAGGATGAGGGACGAGGAGAGACGAGGAGGAGGGACGAGGAGGGGAAGGAAGGTCGCTCATGTCTCGACTGGCCCTCCTATAATCGTTTGCTACCTCCCGTCCTGACAGGGAGCGAGGAGCGGGCCAGGAGGTGGCCACGAGGGAGTAATACCTTCTCTGCAGAAGCTTCTCCGCACTGACGCACACCTGCCCGTGAGGTCCTCCCACTCCTCCTTCTTTTCCGCCTCCTCCTCATCCAATCATCGCCCCCATTCCCTCGTCGAGTGAAACGAAAGCGCCACTAGCGTAGCGTAAGATGTAAAGAGGCATCACATGTCCTTTGAGTGTTTACAAGTTCGAGCCACGCAACCCAATCAGCACATACTGGCTTTGATTGGTTAGACCGTCTATGCGCTCGCGAGGGATCGCAGAAATGTCGTCCATGAGAACGCGCAAACTGGTCAGCAACAAGCCGGGCAACAAGTTTACGGGAAAGCAAGGAAGCAACAGCATCCTAGTGACTGGTTTGTGCTGACCAGTTAGCGCATCCAGCAAGCTCAGAGAGCAACCTGTTCAATCCAAACTCCCCCTGCTGCCCCTCTTTCTGCTGCTGCTGCTGCTGCTGCTGCTGCTGCTGCTCCTCCCCCTCCTCGTCCTCCACTTCTCCTCGATCCGCATCCTCCTGCTCAGCACCCTTATCCTCCCCCCCATGAGTTTTCTCGGGAGCTCTCTGGGGGTCCCACGAAGTCCCTGTGAAGGCGCCCAGGGGCCCCGAGAGGCCCCAATAGATTGTCAGAGACAGCATCCAGAAGGCCACATGCCATGTGTCAGAGAGAAGGCCTGCATGCCGCAGATTTCGTACCACCTCCCCTTCCCCATCCCCCACCCTCGTCCGACCCGACAAACTGCTTACCGCAAAACACCAGCACACGATGCCCGTCCACGGGCAAGAGAAGCTCGAAAAAACATCAGATCGGCTTCCCCTCGTGGGGGTTATGACCGCACCCATCGGATGCAAGCTCGAGCTCGAGAGAAATTCGAGACACATTTGGTAATTACTCCGTCCGACCCAAAACATCAGCTTTCGGAAGCCCGCGCAGATTCCTTGGATCAGCGCCGGACCATCCCCGCCCAGGCGCGCGGAGCGACAGCAAAGGCGCCTCCAAAGGGCCGAGGGGGACCAGCCCAGATCCAAGAAATCCGCGCGGACCTCCGGAAGTGTAGGTTCATTCAGTTGCCTCGGGCGCAGGCTAACACGGATTACGGATCGGGGAGCGTTGCCCCGAAACTTCAAGCCAGTGCTGCCTGGACTGACCACGGAGCGCGCAGATCTGGTACGGCCAGTATAATCCAAGCGCCTTAGTCCATCATTGCGTTTCCTCGTTGTTCTTCTTCGAGACTTGGAAGCGGCCGGGGGTCTGAGCCTGATACGCCCACAGGAAATCCGCAGATCCGGGGTGTGAGTTTAAAAGAGTGTGAGCTTGAGCTTCGCTTGAGCTCCGCTCTGCAGGGCGGGGCGGGGGTTGTCAGCGTTTTCGGCTCCCCCCCCTCCGCTCTGCAGGGGGGGGGGCAGCGCTTTCGCCCCCCTCCCCCCCTCCGCTCTGCAGGGGGGGGGGTCAGCGCTTTCGCCCCCGCCTCCGCTCTGCAGCTTTCGCCCTCCCCTCCGCTCTGCTAGTGTCTGCAGGGGAAGGGGGGGTCAGCGCTTTCGCCCCCTCCGCCTTCGCTCTGCAGGGGAGGGGGTCAGCGCTTTCGCCCCTCCCTTCCGCTCTGCAGGAGGGGGGTCAGCGCTTTCGCCCCTCCCCCGCTCTGCTAGGGAAAAGGAAGGGGGGAGGTTGTCAACGCTTTCGCCCCCGCCTCCGCTCTGAAAAGGGGGGGGTCAGCGCTGTCGCTCCCCACCTCCGCTCTGCATGGGGGGGGGTCAGCGCTTTCACCCCCCCGTCAGCGTCTTCGCCCCCCCCCTCTCCGCTCTGCATGGCGGGGGTCAGCGTTCTCGCCCCACTTTCCGCTCTGCAGGGGGGAGGCATCAGCGCTTTCACCCCCGCCCCCGCTTCTGCCCGCGCCCGCGCTCGCGCCCCCACGCCCCCGCACCCTCGCCCCCGCCCTTGCCCGCGCCCGCGCGTTCGCCTCCGCCGCCACCCTCGCCCCTGCCTCCGCCCCCGCCTCCGCGCTACAGCTGCCACCGCCATCATGCCCCAACTGCGTCGTCGTCGTCGTCGTCGTCGTCGTCGTCGTCGTCGTCGTCGTCCTCGTCGTCGTCGTCGTCGTCGTCGTCGCCGTCGTCCATGTCCACCGGCATCCAGAGCGCCCCGGATCGGCGGCAGTGGCCGGAGGCCACTACAATCGGTCAGGAGGCGGGGAATGAGGACAAATTCGATAAAAATCTGTCCCCAGACCCATCCCGGAGTCGAAACTCATAAGTTTTTTGGGGCCGCGTCGAGCCGCGGCGACGAGAACCCCCTTTACCCCTACATTCTAATGGCCGGAACCGGTGCTGTAGGTGGCGATTAACGATATCCACCGCCACCGATCACTAAATCGATGAGCGGCAGGGGCAGAATACGGATTTCGCCACTTGTTCGACGAATTCCGAGCCCTACCCCCGCCGCCCATCGAGTTGCCTGATGATCCGCGACGGTACCGTTCGGCGAGGGTAGGGACTGGTGGAACATCTCAGCCCTGTAGCCGGCTCCAATCCGAGACGACCAAATCTCGAACCTCGATCCCCCGCCGGCAGCGGCGCATCGCTCGCGCGCTGAATGGCGGATGGCGGCCTGGCTGTTGTACTTCCGGGCGCACTCGTCGTAGAAGCCTGCGGCGGGGGGCAGCATCAAACAGCACCGAATCGGGAAATCGGACCGAATCGAAATTTGCGTCGGACCGGGCCGCATAAGCACAGAATCGTGTGCTCGGATCGGATCGTTTGCATCAATATTCACAACAGATCGAGCCGGCCGAATCCGATATCGAGTCGGGTCGATCCAATCGGACTGGGCAATGCGGTGGACAACTATGACGATTACTCTCTCTTGCACAGACGTGCTGCCGGGCTAGGAGCCTATTGTTTCCGTGGTTCGTTCGCTCTTTCGCACACAGCCTCGACGCCCCCCCCCTCATCGGCCCCACCCAAGTCCACCTCAAAACCGCCCCCTGATTCCGCTCCACCCCCGGGCCGCGGCTACCTCATGCAACAGCCAGAGGCACGCGTGCCGCTTGTTTTTGCGGAGGGCTGTCACGATATGGTTAAGTAAACTGGCAAACAAGAAAGAGCGGGGGAATCTACTATATTTGAATATGCGCACGCCGCTGGGAATGGTCTTGCAGAAAACGGCCAAGGATTTTGCATTTTCCGATGTATCATGGATCGGGGCATTGTCTTTATCCGAGTGATGGGCTTATGCTTGTCGTGAAAAAGGCTATGGTCAATAAGGTTCAAGAGTGGTCTCAAGTTAAGTTTCGAGAGGGTGAACTGAAAACCGTGGCGCGTTCTCAGGATTATCCAGTAAGCAAATGCATGAGCATGTCGCGAGAATCTCACGACGCGCGGGGGCGCCCTGCCTGGGCGAGGAGAGGGCGCGCCCGATCCTTTTTGCTCTGGGCACAGATAACTGTTGCATTAACATCCATGTCAAGCAGGTGGCGCCGCCACCCCCAGTTGGAGGGCAGCGGCGGCGCCGTAAAAGACGCGCGAGAGGGGCGTGGCGAATGACCCCCCCCGCGACCACTCCGGCGCGGAAGCTCCGCGGGCGGGCGGGCGTCAGCCTTGCTTCCCAAGCAGGGGCGGGGCGCGCCAGCCCGAGTTCGGTGCGCCCTGGGGCCGGAAGTCAGACTTCACCCTATCTCAAGGCACGTCGGCACCCGCGGCGCCATCCGCAGAAACGCTCCACGACGCCCTCGGAAGGGGGGAAGGGAGCACTCCCGACGCGGCCCTCGGAGACAAAACGAAACAGGCCGGCGAGCCCCGCGCAGGCAGGGGCGCGCTGGCGCACGCCGCCCAGCGATCGGCTCGCGCGGCCATCGCAGCCTCCCGCCACGCCGCGCCCCGCGTAAGGACGTTAGGAGCGCAGCTCCAACGCACCCAAGGAGCACTCAGAGCACAATTCCGTGATGTCCCCATTGCAGCCTCTCATCGTCATCGCCAGTCTTCGCTCCGCTGATCGTCGCGGCCCCAGCTGCTGCGCCAGCTGCGCGCAATTGCGCGGGCCCCGCCCCGAGCTCCAAGACGACCGGCAGCTCTGCGAGCCCTGGCGCCGGGGAGGGCGCGGATCCTCCTCCCCCCCTGCAGCCTCGTCCGGATGTCCGCATGCCGGCACCTCCTCGCTGTGGGGTTTGGAACAAAAATCGATGACGCTGCCGCCGACGTCGACGGCCAGGGGTGGAATTCCCAAGGCGTCGGCTCCGCATCTCGGCGACGCATGACAGCCTGTCGACGTTCGCGGCCCCTGGCTGCCGCCACGCCTTGCGGCTTCATCTCTGGCGCCTCCTTGTCCTTTGCCTCTGGTGGGCGCGCGCGCCGTCACCCGGCGGCCCCGGGGCGCGGTCGACTACGGGCGCTTCCCGCCCCGCTTGCCATGAACGCCGGAGGCCCCGGCGCTGCCGACGCAGCCAGCAGACGCTGGCGCCCCTTCCTCGGCCTCCGCAATGTCAACTTCTTCCAACGGCCCTCAAAACTGCTCCAGCTCCTCCACCGTCTCCGTCTCCAGATCCGCGAACGTCGGGAACGGCTCAGGGCGACAGGGCTCGGCGAGCCACTGCCCCCAGCCATTCGAGGTATCATCTGCCTCGCGACCCACGAGTCGCGAATAATCCCATTCGAAGGGCTCGAGGAGGGAGTGGCCTCGACGTTGGAGAACGAGCCTCCTGCTCATGCGCGGCCGCCAGACCTTCGCGTGAGCGATTGCGCTCTGGCCTGTGGCCGGAGAGACGGCGCGCGCTGAGCGCTCGATCCAGCGCCCCCCCGCATGTCGCGCCTGCTTCTGTCGGCGCGCCCTCCGATCGGTTGGCGCCAGATCGCGCGGCGACGTTGGGCGCCAAGCGAAGGTGGACACGAGGTTGTTCTGGCGCGCCGCCTTGCCCAGCGGGGCCTGGTCGATCGCGGCGGGACATCGCTCCAAGGGCATCGGGCTGGGCCCATGTGTCCTGCTTTTCCTCGACCCCTCTATCCGCGGTCGGGCCCTGCAGGGCAACCCTCGCGGCCTTCGGCGCAGGGCCAGGGAGGCAGCCCCCGGGCCCCCGGTCGATTGCCCCCCCGATCTCCCCGGCAATGCAAGAATCGAGCCACTGATGCGCCAGCGCCGTCACACTGGGCGCCTCGATCTCGGGGAAAGGAAATGGACGCCCGGCAACGAAGACAGCGGAGCGCTCCTGAGCGATTCCTGCATGCTCCGCAACAGACGAGATAACCATCGTCCGCGGCAGCGGCAGAAGCAGTTCGCCTTGAACTCCGCTGGCGCGAGGGCGCCATCATCGTCGCCGCCGATTCGATGGAAAACTGATGTGGTTTAATCGAATCGACGCAACCTGACCCTGACTTTGGTCCAATCTCTGCGCCGTGAAACCGCTGGTTACAAAGCGGGGCCTTGAGCGGTGAGAAGATCTGACGCACGTCGCTCCAATCTGGACGGGGCCCCGCGGCGAGGGGGCCGTCTGGGAGAATCCAGGACGCAACCGCGTCAAATCCACCGGCCCCCTTGCGTGGCCACCACGCTGTAGGCTGCGGGGCGAAGGTTTGCTGCTCCTTGCGCCACTTGCAGCTTCCGGTTTCCAATGCGACGGCTCTACTTTCTGCTTCCCACCGTTAATTCCCACCAGACACGCGCGGGGGCGGGGGGGGGGAACGAAAAGCGCGATTATACAGCGCCGCCCCCGGGTTCGCAGTCTTCCAGGGGGACCGCGGGACACGTGGGTCTGCGCGAGACTCGCGCCCCCGAGGCCACGAAGCCTCGCGCGTCGCAAAACGCGCGCGCCCCCGAAGCCCGAAACTCGCAAATCACGCGATATTCGCTCCCGCGAAGCCATATACACCCCTAAATTGCAAATCGTCGCGCCCCCGAAGGCGCGGCCCCTAATGGATTTAGAATACTCGCGCCGCCGAGATCATGAACCAACGCAAGTTACGGAATATTCGAGCCCCCAACGCCATTAACCTTTTGCAAATTACGAGATGCGCGCGCATCCGAGGTCACATGCCCTCGTAAATTCAACAATGCTCGCGTTCCCGAGGCTATATGACATGATAAATTATACCAAAATTGCGCCCTTGAAGCCATTGACCCTCGTAAAATGCATTATGATCGCGCGCCCGAAGCCGCGCGATCTCTTAAAATATGCAATAGCTGCGTCCTCGAAGCCTCCAGCCATGTAAATTGCCTTATCTTCGCGCCCTCTAACCACGATCGTTTGTAAAGCGCACAGGACTCGCATCCTCGGAACAAGAAATCCCTTGCGAATTACGCAAAATTCCTGGTTTCCAAATGCACGCGCCCTGACGCATTGCACGACGTTCCCGTCCCCGAGGCCACAAACCATCATGAATTCAGCCATGGTTGCGTCCCGTCTGAATACATTATACGACATTCGCGCCCCCGAAGCCATGGACCCACGTAAATCACGCAATGTTCGCGTCCCCGAGGCCATGAGCCCTCGCAAATTACACCGGAAATTCGCGTCGCCGACGCCACGATTCCATATGAATGACGCAATCTTCGCGCCCCCGACGTCACAAGCCATGGCGAATCATGCAACAATTGCGCCCCCGAAGCTATACTTCTTCATGCATTGCGCAATGATCGCGTCGCCGAGGCCGCAAACCGCTGTAAATTAAAACGCGCTCGCGCGCCCGAGGCCACGGCGCCCCGCGACAGACGCCGATGAGCCCGCGCGCGGCCCAGGTCGCGCGATCTCCCCCCATGCAGCCCCTAGTCTTTCCAAGAAAGTCCCCCATGCGCAACGCGCGGGGGCGAGTGCAGAGATGCGCAGCGCCGAGTTTAACAAAATAACCCAAATCTCCATGTCTCGCCGATTACATATATCGCCCTCGCGCGAAGTTCTGGCGGCACGCAGGCCTCGCGATACAGCTCTTGCGCAGCGCAGCTTCCGAAAAAGAAAGGGCCGGCGGCAGGGGGCAAAGCCCTCGCGGATATTCGGTGCGCGAAAGTCACGATGCACGAACCAGACGACGCACGTGGGCCCTCCAAATTGACAGCGCTTGCATCGAGACCCTGTGCGCCGTGAGCCCTTGCCGCCCGTTCGGCCTGGAACAACGCAGGGGCCCCTCGGAATGCTCTTCGCGCCGCATCTCAGCGCCTCGGCGGGTCAGATCCACCGCTTCGCTGGCGCCGCCCCCCCGGCTTCGACGACGCAGTTGACGCAGTTGTCGAGGGCAGGGTCGCGGCCCCGCCGAAGTTCCATCTCGGGGCCGCGACCTGCCCAGCCGTCGACTCGATCGCGGAAGCGACGTCAAGCGGCGCGAGGATGGCCGCGCGCTGATGCCCAGCGGACGGCTCGCACTTCACGTCGATCCGTTCGGGCGCAATTACTCGGGGCGGGTGGCCCCTGCAGGCGCGGAGCAACCGGCTTGACCGCGGGCTTCGACTTCGCGGCCGCCGGCGGCGCGGCCGCCGGACGGCCGCGCGCGCCCGGAGCTCTCGCCCTAGCTGGGTGGCGCGGAGGCGGCGTCGTCTTCGTCTGCTGTCATTTCGACGCCCAGCGTTTGCGCGGTGCGAAGGCAACGTAGCAGGCGCGCGCAAGAAGCCGCCCATGCCGTTGCAGCCCTCGCCCTGGACCACGCCCGCGATGACCTCGGCTTCCAACCGACCGTCCGATCAGAACACTGGCACCGCGCTGTGCATCGCCAGCTGGGCGATGAGCGACGCCAGTCGTTCGGCTTCCTCGCCGCCGACGTCGCTGCACATAGCGCACGCGGTTTGGTTATCGAGAAGATGCGTCGGCGCCAATGCGCGAGGCCTGTCGGGGGCTCGCATGTCTCGATGGCGCTGAAACGCACGTGGAGGACACCATCGGCCACGCGGCGCAGCAATGGTGATAATGCTTTCAAAATTCCAATAGCGCGTCGCCGATGAGATCCCTCGCGGCCTCCAGCTGCCTGGTCTGGAGTGCATGGCGCCAGGCGGGGGTCGCGCGCTTCCTCCAGCCTCCTGGCGCGGCCTGGAAGCAGTTGCCGTCGTTTTCTGGCGCGGGCAGGGGCGGGTTTTGCGCCCGCTGGTGAGAAGTGCGCTCGTCAATGCGCTGTGCAATCTCCGTCTGGAAGTACTGGCATAGAATGGGCGGTGGGATGTTAGCACCCTGCGTCGCCTCGCCGCGCGTCGCGCAGTGGCAGCCCAGGCGAGGGCGCGGGTGGACCTGCTGAATGCGCGCCCGTTGAATGGACGCCAGCACCTTATGGTTATTCTTATTGCCGGCGCGGGGGGGCAGGGGGGGCGCGGGTGGAAGTTGACGCAGCGCAGCTCCATCGCGCGGGCCCCTCCTCTGCTGCGGGGGAGGGCCTTCGGAGCACTTGGAAGGCGCCTTATGGGCGGCGCGATAGCTTGGCGCGAACCCGGCCCGGCGCGGGCAACGCCTCGAGCGCGTCGCGCCCGCGCCCGTGCACTCGGCCCGCGGAAGTCATCGTCTCCGCGTGGATCTGCTCGTCTCTGCGCTCCTTGCGCAGCCGGCCTGCGCCCCTGCCCCTGGCCCCTCTCTGCGCGCGCCTGGTGCCTGGAGTGGCGCCCGCGCCGTTGTCGTGGAGCGCCTCCTCGTCTTCCTCGGGGGTCTCCTCTTGCCCCCCCATTGCCTGGTTGGCGCGCCGGCGCATCGTGAAGTCCCCTCGCGCGCGGTGTGCCCAGCGCATGTCGGCCGCCGCGTTGGCCAGTGTCAACGCTCTCAGGTCGATGCCAGCTTTCTCGCGGCAGGCCGCGAGCTGGCCCTCTGCGGGGTCGACGTGGCACGGCTCGCGCAAGGTCGCCGACTCGAGCTCCATTCCCCAAAACGGAAGTCAAATTCATTCCGTGGTATTCTGGCGGCAGCATTCGCACAGGAGCTCGACCGACCTTGTCCGATCGATGGAGGCTTCAGCGATGCCGTTCTTCTGCCTCTTGCTGCGCAATCGGCTTCTGGCTTTTCGCAGCGCCCGCTCAGCCCCCTCGGGCGCGCGGCCGCAAAACCTGCGACCCGGTTCCACATTAACCTCCCACTGAACCGCCCGCGCTGCCCCCGATCCCCTGGACGGTTGGGGGCGCGCTTTTTCGAGCGGGTCAGGGTCAACGACTGCCTTGCAATCGAGCTCAAAACTGTCGCCCCTGGAAACCTTCAAATGGAACTTCCACGGCCCCATCGAAGTCGTCTGCGGGGGCTGTGCGAATTGCGCGCGGACAGCGACCCTGGCGACGTTGGACGGGGCGGCCGCAACTATGCTGCCGCCGGCCGCCCGCGCCTGAGCCCGCCGCCATGAAACCGCCGCCCGCCCCCGCGCGCGCAGAAAGAGCCGCCGGCTGGAAGTCGCGTGCGACGCCCAGGCCGGCCCCGCACGCCATCGAGTAGATGGCGTGGCACGTTGGGATGGCGTCGGCGCCGTCGCAGACACGCGCCCCCTCCGCCGCCCCCCCGAGCTCTTGAAAGTCTCGCTTCTGCCGCCACCAATTTCGCGCGAGACGGCGAAAGAGCCCGCGTCGAGCATGGCGCCAGGCCGATCGGCGCCGGCCGCGCGCGATAACAATCGCCAACCAGCTCGCCGCCCAGCCGGCCTCAACGAAGCCGCTCGGCAGGCCGACAGGGGGCGCAAGGGCGCTCTGTCTGTCACGCACATCCAACCCCACTCCCCCCAAACAGAACAGGTCGCACAGCGTCGCGACCGGAGCCGAGGCGGCGTGCGAGCGTCGGGGCGCCAACCATTCGATAACACAATTACTGAGATAGCTGAGCGTCGGCTTCGGCGCGCGGGCCGTTCGCGCCCGTTCAGCAAGCCGCGCTTCTGAGCCCGTGTGCCCCCTCCTCCTCTTGCACCATTCATCAACTGGCATCAGGGTGCCCGCGAGCTTCTTGGGTAGTGGGAGCTGCTCCTATTTTTCCTTTTTCCTCCGTGCGGCGCTCTGCCTCTCCCCCGGCTTTCCACTATTCCTCCTGGGCTTGCTTGTCGGCGGCGGCGAAGGCCTCCGCGCGCTTCTCGTGGCCTTTGCCTCGTGGCAATTGCCTCGTGGCCTTTGCCTGGACGTGGCCCACCACGTTCCGCGTCGCCCCCGTGAGCGTATCCAAGAGCCTCAGGTGCTCGGCCCTGGCAGAATCTTCGAACGCCCTCAGGCGTCTGGAGACGTCATCCTCTGCCTTCTGCCCCATCCAAGTGGTCCGAGGCGATCGCGACGCCGTCGCGGGGCGCCTTGAGCATCGGCGGGAAGGCAAAAGGTCCTGCTCCAGGTGAGAATGCGGAGGCGGTCCGTAGCTGACCGAGGCCTCGCTGTGCTTTCTGGCCCTCAGGCCAGGCAAGGGCCACTCTCTGGTCGGGCCCGCTGGCCTCAGCGCGAGGGCTCCCGCGGCGCCTGAGAGCGTCCTGGAACGCTCTGGCGTCCTGGAACGCTCTGGCACGGATCCATCCTCGTCCAAGCCCCGTTCTATCTTCCCTGAGATTCTGGCGTTGCATTTTTTTGCGCTGGGCGTGTTCGCGCCGGTTCGGGCCCTGGGGCCATCACGGCGCGATCCCACTCGTGAGATACCGCCGGAAGGATTCATGGAGCTCCAGTCGTGATGTTCCACGATCTGAGCTCACAGACTTCAGTTGGGCGCCCGAGTTATCCGGGGTAACTCGGGTCCGGGGTCACTCGGGCTTGGCTTCCCGCAAAAAGAACCCGAGTTAGCCCTGACCCGAATTACCCCTGATGATTCGGGGCTCTGGACGCCCGAATTATCCGGGGTAACTCGGGCCCGGGGTAAGTCGGGTTCGGATTCCCGAAAAAGGAACCCGAGTTAGCCCTGACCCGAGTTACCCCTGATGATTCGGGGCTCTGAGTCAGATCTCAGGGCTGGCACAGCCCAACACTTGTGGTCGCCGCGGAGGCGCACGCCCAACGCATCCGTGGCCGCAGCGGCAGCGCTGCTGGGCGAACTGTATAGACGGCCGGGCGGGAACGGGCGGGCGGGAAACAGAAGGGGGGCAGCCGCGGAGGCGCGGAGAGGGAGGTGGTGGGCACACTGAGGCCACGAAGGGCTTCGTGAACTGTGCGGCGGCACCACCAGAGAATACAAGGTCTCTTTGGACGCCCGAAATGGGTACCGAAAAAATGGGTACAATGCCCAACAGCAAATGTTGTCCCAAACCAACAGCGGCCGCTGTTGGGCGGGCGGCCTCCTGTCTCAAATGGACACAGGCCGCGGCGGCGCGGACAGCGAGTCCTGTTCAAAATGAACAGGAACTGCTGTTGGGCATCGTACCCATTCTTTCCGTGCCCATCTCGGGCGTCCAGAGTCTCCGACAGTCTCGCCTTTTTCCACGTGCAAGGCCGGCTTCCCATCCCCGGTCGTGCTTCCCTGGTCCCCGGGCCCGACGAAGGCCCCCGGAGGCCGGAAACGACAGAAGACCTCCGTCGTGCTTCTTTGTGCGCAAGCCTCGAGCCCGTCTGGGTCCGAAGCCCTCCACGAGCAGTGAGGGTGTGCGACCCCTGGCCCGCCGACCCCGTTCCCCCGCTCGGCAGCGACGGGAACAGGGGAGGGCCCGAGGGAACGGTTCGGGCCGTCTTCTGGGGGCCTTGCAAGGGCAAGCCGCGCTCAAAGTCGTGGCACTCCGGGGGCGGTCACTTCCGCGCGAGAGAGGAGAAGGCGCCTCGCGTGGCCAGCCGGCGTTCGGAGCAGAGGCCTGTGGTGCTTGTGAGTCTTACGGACCGTGAGTCAGACAGTGGGGACCTAAGCTGCACACTGCATCTCTCCGCCCTGCCTCGGGTCCCATCGTCGACCGATGCTCGCTCGATGCCGAGCCGCGGGCGATCTGGCCTGACAGGCCTTATGGGGGGGGGTTCGAAGCGTGTAGCCGCGTCGTTCGACAGAAACTCTGTCTGACTCGGGGGTCCCGAAACTGTGCGGTGACATCCCATGCGGTGACCACGGAATCCCCAAAGACCTCACCGCACGGTCCGTCACCGTACGGCTGACTGGCAGCTCCAGAGCCGGGGGGGGAGTATGTCCCAGGGACCGGGGGGGCCGAGAGAACAGCGAGGGACCTCTCCAGAGCCTGCTCCTCTCCCTCGGAACACCCCTGTTCTCTCCTCTTCCCCTCCCGCTTGTAGAGGAAGCAAACAACGCCATAAACATAAGCTCCTGGAGGTCCGCGCGGAGTTCTTGGATCTGCGCTGAATCAGTTTGTGTTTATGTGATCTCTTGCTATTCTTCGACTTGAGCCCCGTGCCCCCCTGCGGGCGGGCGAAGCCGTAAATCTGGGTGATCTGCCGGCTCTCGTGGTTCCCGCGGAGGATGGTGATCCGCTCCCGGAAGCGCACCTCCGCCGCCGGAGAGGGGTAGGAGGCGGCAGAGGAGAGGCACCCGCGGCTCCCGACGAGCACAGCAGGGAGGATGAGGGAGGAGCGAGGAGGAGGCGGAGAAGGAGCGAGGAGGAGGAGCGAGGAGGAGCAGTGAGGAGGAGCGAGGAGGAGGAGGACCGAGGAGGAGGAGGAGGAGGAGGACCAGTGTAAATCAAAGAGTTATCAACGATGTTGGAATGAACCCTCCCTCCAAGCTCCCTCGTCATAGGCCACTACAACGGTTCATTTCCACTGGGGGATCTCTCTCGTTGGAAGGCAACAATTTGAAGACCCTGAAGCATGCTAAAACATTGTTCTCGGGATTCCAACGCCACGGATCAACCTGATGCGTCTTGACGATCCAGAACAGTGCCAGAATGCCATCCCTGGGACTTCAACACCGCGCGTAAACCGAACCGCTGCACCCATATAATCCTCAATCCTTGCCAAACACAATTTCTGGTACGTTGATCATGGGAACCCGTCAAACTCTTGCAACATTCAACATGTGCGAGGCGCTCAAGCGATAACCACATGGTGAAAAGAAACAGCCCTCTATCCGTGATCATGTTGCAGTTTTTTACAGCGAATGCACGCGGCACTAGGGCGAGAACCACCTTTCAAAAACGGCCCGTCCTCAGTCCGTGAAGCTCTTGCAGATGTTTAAAACACGTGTGCGTGGCGCGAAAACGAGAGCCAGATTTTGAAAACGGCCTCCATCTGCGAACCTGCTGCCAATGTTTCAGCTTCAGGGTCATAAGCGGTGAGGAGATCTCAGGCGACACGCCCGGCCAGCCCTAAAAACTGGCCTCGGGGTGCGACAGGGAGAAATTACTTATAAGGAGAAGGAACGGAGGAGTGTGGAAGAGGGGGGAGGGGGAGGGGGAGGAGGAGGGAGGGGGGAGGGGGGGCATCTTCTCGCAAGAGCTACGCGGTGTTCGGAGGTTTCTCCAGGGGTGTCAGTGGCTTCCAGGAGGGGAGGGGGGAGGGGGAGGGAAGGAGGAGGATGAAGATGACTGATACACCTCGTGCTCGTTCGCAAGGCCTCCATCCAGAAGCGTGAGATGGAGCAGGAGGCGGTGGAGGAGCAGGAGCAGGGGGAGAAGGGCGAGGAGCGAAGGGACGGGGGAGACGAGGGCGGAGCGAGGAGTAATGAGGAGAGGAGGAGGAACAGGAGCAAGAGGGAGGAACAAGGGGAGGGAGAGGGATGGCCCCTCCTCCTCCTCCTCCTCCTCCTCCTCCTCCTCCTCCTCCTCCTTCTCCTCCTCGGGCGCGGCCTGACCGACCCCTAGCAAACCATCCCCTCCAGTGACGATCATCCTCGCCTTTCGAGCTCCCCTCCGGCCGCATACATACATCTTTGGGCGAGGCGAGGGGGGCGTCACGGAAGGGGATGGTTTGCCAGGGGTCGGTTCGGCCGCCCCTGCTCCTCCTCCTCCTCCTCCTCCTCCTTCGCCTACTCCTCCCATTCAGTTACAGGTAGGTCAGAAAAAGAATAAGCTAACAACATGGAGTGAAAAGGCGGATAAGGTAGATTGGGTTCAGGTCCTCCCAGATAATACCAACACACAGCAAAAGCATATCGATCATCTAAATAGGAAGGCTTTTGAAAAAGGTTGAGACCTGGGAAAACATAAATACCTACTCATCATCCATCATCTGGCTGCCTGTCTCCTCATCTTCCGTTGGCGAGTTACTGGCGTTGGCTTTGGCTTTCACCATCTTCTCCCACTCCTCATCTTAACATAAACAGTCAATCTAGGATAGCTCGCTTTCATCGCTCGCGTATCATTCAACGTGTATACCCCAAGCCCTCGACACCCATCCTCTTCGTGCATGAGCGATCACCCTTTGTTGGACACCTTTGTGAGTGGGAACGATGGGGGGAAGCAGCTCAGGGGGAGGAAACATCGAGCTTGAATGAACGATGCACACCAGATAGATCGGCGATAGGCCGCCAATACCAAATCCGCACTTTCCTGGGCAGGTTGAGCTATCAGGCCACTGTAGGCGATCAATGCGCACGTGTGGGTCGATATATTCCCTCCTGAGCCAACCCCCCCCCAATCGTTGCCCCTGACTTTCTCATGCCAGCTGATGGGGAAACCCCAACAAGGTAAGAGAGGCAGAGCGGGCCGGCGGACCCGACGAGGCGGGTCGAGCTGGCGGACGCTGACGGGCGGGTCGGGCGGGTGGACCCTAACGGGCTGGCGGACCCTACCAGGCGAGGCGGGCCCGGGCAGGCATGACACAAAGTGGGCGGGGCGGGCTTCCAAGCAAACGACCCGGCGGACCTAGTGGGCGGGTTGGGCGGGCGGGGAATGAAAGCAGCTGGGGCGGGTGGGCGGACTCTAACAGACGGGGCGGGCGGGCGGGACACGAAAACCGAAACGGTGGACCAGACGGGCGAGTCGGGCGGGCGGACCCTGACAGACTGGTCGGGCGGGCGGGAGCTTAAGCTGGAGGGCGGCTTACCAAGCAAGCGAAACTGTGGATCAAACATCTAACGGGCGGATCGAGCGGGCGGCGGGCGGGCGCCCACGACCGGGTCGGGCGGACCCTCGCAGGCGGGCCGGGCGAGGACACTCATGCGCGAGCTTTGACTTCATCGTGGGGAAGTCCCAGGCGAGACCGCGAGTTCGACGCAGGATTGGCGGACAGGCCTGGGCGGATGCGGGGTTCCTGGGCGACTGCTGGACGGCGAGAGGGCCTTTCCTTTGTCGGGGGCGCGCAAACATGGATCGGGGGAGGTGTCCTCCCCCAAATGCGGCCGATGCCGCCTCGCTCGGCGGCGGAAATCAGCGATTTCCCATGGAAACGGGACCCGTCGCTAGTCCAGGCCCCCATTGATCCATGTTTGCGATCGCCTGACTTTGGTCACTTATGAGGGTGTCTCGAGCAAGGGCGCGAATCTCGTGTAAATTGTAGACACGTCTCGAGCGAGAGAGCCCGCCCTGAATAAATTGCAAGGAAATCAAAGGCGGGAGCCATTTCTGTAGTCGGGGGGCCAGGGCCACAATTTGAGCACCTGGACTTCCCTGATGAAAAAAACAAACGCATGAGCCGAGAGGGGCACTTCCAACTGGCGACAAAACCGGGACCAGGAGGGCCCCACCCCCACCATCCCTTGACAAACAAAAAAACACATGCAGTTTTTTACCAACTGGTAAACTGTGCGCGGGCGCCCAGCGATCACTTCACAACAGCTCTTGGCACGGACGACGGGGGTGCCGGAGCATTGCCTGCTTTGTGCAATGCCATCACCTCCCAAGCCATCCCCTCTGAAAGCATGCAGAAAACGTGTGTTACCAAAATCTGGATCATGCATGGACTCCCGCGATCCCTTTGCATGGACTGCTGACAGGGACCGCGGGGGGCGGCAGATTGCATGATGATGCGTGCACAGCCAACACCCCAGCGTATCTCTGCCCCCCCAGAGAGAATCCGAGTGCACCTGTCACCAAAATCTGGATCACGCGCGGAAGCCCCACGACCACTTCGCATAGTTTTTGACTGGGACAGGGGGGGGGGGGCTGGCATGATGCCTGCTGTGTGCAGGCCCAAACAATGAGACATTCCAAGTTCACTTTGCAAGCACGGCGGGGGGGGGCGGTATATTGCCTGCTGCGTGCAGGCCCGCCATCCCTGTCAACAACACGTGCCAAATAATTACGTGCACACGGCCGCACACAATACACAATGCCCGCGAAGCCGCCGTCACGTTGCACTCGTTTTTGACAATGGCGATAGGGAGTCGACATATAGCGAGATATGGCGCACCTGGTGCGCGTGGCGCACCTGGCATGTGTGTCTCAGCCTCGCGGGCTTCGCGCACCTAGCTGGCGCCTGCATTGGTTCCCGATGGTTGTCGATGGCGGCCCCTGCCTATGCTGAGACTCGGGTACTACTCATGTAGTGGGAAGGCGGGTGGGAGTGAGCGAAACAGCTTGCGGCGCTCTCGCTGAGAACTTAATTCATGCTCTCTATTGAGAAGCACCCCCTCCCCTACCCGACAAGCAGCCAACCGGGACCCATGATGACACCCATGACATCACCCCCCCACCATCCCTGTCGAACAACAATGCAACATACACTGTGCCTCCAAATCTGCAGCATTCGTAGGCGGCCCGCGACTACTCTCGGGCGTCGGCAGGACTGTACCTGGTTTAATGATGCGTACCCTGGGACGCCCCCCCGGCCGCATTCTGCTAACAAGAACTGCCGTCACCCGAAAAGCACAACCTACGGCAGACCTGGTGTAATGATTCCAGTCCGTACTTTGGACTTCGGGGCCCAATCACCAACAGGCTCCCCTCAACCGGGGCCTTGGCTATCTCCGACACTTGGCATTGATGTTTGACAAGGGCGGCGGGGGTGCCAGCATATTGCTTGCTGCGCAAGATCTCTTGCAAAAGACCACACGTAGAGCACCTGTTACAAAAATCAGAATCATGCGCTGACGCCCCGCGATCACTTGGCATTGATTGTGACACGGACGGCGGGGTTCAGCACATCACCTGCTGCGTGCAGTGCCACCACCCCCATAACCATCCATTGCAATACAACACTACCAAATGCACTTTGTACCAGTTCTGGATCATGCGCGGACGCCTCGCGTCGTGCTTACATTGTATTGGTTTTGCCAGGAAGGCGGGGGTGTCGGCAACTGCCTGCTGCGTGCAGGCTCACCATGCCTGCAAAACAACTAATGCAAAGCGATCGTGGGCGCACACCCGCACACAACAACCCGCCGTTACTTTGCATTGGTTTTTGACAGGGACGGTGGGAGGGTCGACATGTTGCCCAATGTGGCGCACTTGGTGCGCGTGGCACACATGGCATGTGCGGCGCACCTCGCGGGCTTTGCGCACCTAGCTGGCGTCTGCATTGACTCCCGATGGTTGTCGAGGGAGGCCCCTGTCCATGCTGAGACTCGGGTGCGACTTCTGAAGTGTGAAGGCGGGTGGGATTGAGCCAGACAGCTTGTTGCTTGTGGGTAGATTGACCCCTTCCCCTACCCCCTTCCTCGGGGTCTGGAGGGGGGGGACGGACCCATGTGAGCGTTCAAGATGACCCAAGATGGCTCCTAGAGGGTCCTCCAAGATGGCTTTAGATACCTCAGCATGGCCCAAGATACGCAGACTCCGACATACCTCCGCGACATCCCGAGACAGCTTCAAGGCTGCTCCAACAGCCTTTCGGGTCTTTCAAGTCACCTCGTAAGAAGGCAAACTCTGTCAGACGCTGCAGGAAAAAAACACAGCTGGTTGCGTTCTCGCCGATTCGCGTCCGATGGGCTTCTGAGGCCTCAAGATGGCCCGAGAGAGCTGCAACGGAAACCCAATATCGCCCCAAGATGGCTCCGAGAGCGCCCAAGACGCGCCCAAGCAAGAGGGCCCTAAGAGTCAATGTGTTAACCTCCGAGGGGGGGACCCGAATTAGCCCCCCTTTGTTGAAGGGCCCCACAGGAATCCGAAAAGGCACCAAGATGGCTCCAAGAGGCCTTCAAAGGGGCCCCCAAGAGACTTCCCAAATGATCGCGGAGCGAACTCCCCACCAAAGCTTGACGGTTGAGTCGTCGTCGTTGCCGTCGTCGTCGTCTTCAACTCGCCTGGTCATCATATCTGGATTGGTTGGTGGGGATATGCCAAGCGTCTAGAATTCTTCCGGAGTGAAAATGTCAGGGTAGCAGCGCAGCAACAAGCAAGAGCAACAAAACAACATAACATTGCATCTCCTCCTCCTCCTCCTCCTCCTCCACTCCTTCGCCTTCGCTCCCCCTTCGAACCTTGCCCACAGACAGCCCACCGTCCGCCACGAGGCCACCGAAGACTACCGTGCTCAGCACACCGCCCGCTCCTCCTGCCCACCGACGAGGGAAGAGGCACGGCCAAGACCGCTTGCAAGAGGACGCTCGGGAAGATGCAGGTCTCGCTTCTTCTGGGGATGACCCGCGCTCCCTGCGGGAAGAGAGCACGAAGCGCTACGGACACGGCACAGGACAGGCCTGAGCTGGATCGAATCGCGAAGTCCGCTCGGATCGAGAACGGATCGGATCGACAGCGAGTCGTCCCGAAGCAGATCGAAATCGGATCGACGCGCCTGGCTCAGGCTGGCCCTTGCCGATGTCGGCAACTCGAGCTGAATCGAATCGCATCAAGATCGCGGCCCGAGCCCGCGAACTGAATCGCATCTAATCGGATCTTGGGCGGCCCTGGAAAATGCAGTGGATTTTGCAAGGCCGGCCCGCTGACCAGCACCAGCCGTGCCAGAGAAGAAAGGGCTGGTGCTGCGAACTGCAGGGAGGCACCAGAACAAAAAGGCGTGCACCGCTGCTGCCCACGCGCGCACTACACTAACTCCTCGCGCCTTTGTCCGTGATGTCTGCTTGTGACCCGTGAGCCAAGACATATTTTCGTAGCACCGCTGGGCGGCGTCGCCATCACCAGCGCACTCTGGCATTGGCCGGGTCGTAGGGAGCAGTGCATTCCAGCCTGCACGACAATCCCTTCAGGGCGCGTGCGAACAAATCACTCCGTACATATCCCATCTCTTCTTCCAACCTGGGCTCTCCCCCATCTCTCTCCGAGCCCTCGGTCGGCGCACCTTGAAGCTGAGCAGCAGGGACACGCACTCGACCGAGAAATACCCACGATCTACATAATCCTGCGGGGAGGGCGGAGAGGAGGAGGCGACCCTGCGCGACGGCCCTCAGCCTCGGCTGGCTCCCGACGGCGCCCGACAGCCTCCCACGAAGGGAATGCAGCTACGGCCAACACTCGGCCACGCATCTGTTCAGTGAACAGTCCAGCACAGAGAGGGCGCTGCCGAGAAATATTTCCAGGACGCCGGCCCCATGAGACCCCAGGGGGCCCCAAAGAGGCCCCAGGAGGCATCTTAGAGGCCTCTGATCCACTGGGTTGGGCCGAAGGCCACTGTGTGTAAATGTGTGTGCGAATCCAGATACACACATCTATATATATATATATATATATACACACATACATACACTCACTCAAACCATCGCGGGCGCTTCGCAAGCGCCCAAGTTCTAGCTAGGCTGGATGGTCAACCTCTCGGCGGCCCAAATGGCTTCCAAGACTTCATACGGTCCACCCACGGCGGCCCAAGACAGGCCCACGAGGCACTTCGGAGGCCCTTCTCTTCGCCGCGGCAGGACGTAGCCGGAGGGAGAGGAAGGAACATGGGAGGTGAAAGGGGTTCCCTGGGGGAGAAGAAGGAGAAGGATGCCGCCCGCAGAGAGGAGAAGAAGGAGGAGGAGGAGGAGGAGGAGGAGGAAGAGGACGATGATGATGAGGAAATAGGTGTTATGTCCTTTTCTTACAGGCGTAGCCAAACTGCCAGGCGAACTTGGGAAACAACAACATGTTGGGCTATACATTGTTCGCGCGCCCTCTGGGAATCTTGTCGGGCTCTTTTGGGCCTCTTTGAGACTTCTTGGGTACCTCTGAAGGCCTTCTGGGGGTCTCCTGGGGCGAATATCTCGGGTTCTCGGTTCACGTTCCCGATCCTGGGCCGTGGTTGGGGCCTTCTCAGGCCGTCTTGGACGCCTCTTCGGCCGTTTTGGAGCCGTGTTGGGGCGCTTTTGAAGCCTATTGGCGCGTTTTGGGGCGATCCTCGGGGCCGCTTGGGGCGTCTTGCAGCGTCGGGAAGCGGAAAAGGGGGAAACGCCGCAATTGCTCAAAAACCTTCTGAATCCACATTTGTTTGTCGCTTCGAGCTCTCTTGGGAGACCTCTCGGAGGCCTCTTGGGTATCTTGGAGGCCTCTTGGGCCGTCTGGGGGCCGTCAGGGGTGTCTTGGACCATCTGGTGGTCTTCGGCCCATCACGCCAGCGTGCCTGGGTTGTGGGTTAGCAGCCTCTTAGAAGTTCGTTTGGGTATCGCAGGAGGCCCCTCGGGAACTTCTTGGAAGCAATGTTGGACGCCTCTTGGGTGCCGTTTGGGGGCCTTTCGGGGCCTCTGTTTGACGCTCTTGGTGGCCTCGTGGCCCCTCTGGGCCCCCTCTTGGAGCCGTCTTGGAGCCCACTTGGGTGATTTGGGGCGCCTCTTGGGCTGCTTTGGGACCCTCTTGAACCGTCTTGGGGCCCTCGTGGGAGCCTCTTTGCCCTTCTTGGGGCGGTCTTGGGGGCCTCTGGGGCCATCTTGGAGCGTCGGAAACCCATAACGCGAAAACGCGAAACACATAGAGATCCCCATGGGCTGTGGCGAACTTGGAAAAATGGGAAATGTGTGAATGCATTGCTTTTTCATGTGATCTTCGGGCCTCTTTTGAATTTGTTTTGAGCTTCTTCGAGGCCCCTTGGGACCTCTTCGCGGTTTTTGGGGGGCCTCTTGGGGCGTCCTGGAGGCCTCTTGGGGGCTCCTGGGGGGCTCTTGGAGCGAAAATCGGGTGTTCTCCTTCCACGTTCCCCTTCTCGGGCCGCTGTCGCGGGGCGTCTGGGGCTCCTCGTGGGGCCGTTCCGGGTGTTTGGGGGCCATTCACAGGCCCTCGAAGCCCATCGGCTATGCACAGGCGAGCTCTTCAAACATTAAAAAACACTCTCGGGGCCATTTGGGAAGCGTCTTGGGGACCCTCTGGGCCCATCTTCGGGTGAGCTGGGACCATTTTGGCGGCCTCCTGGGCCGTCTTCAGGTCATCCCGGGTCGTTTTGGAACCGTCTTTGGAAGCTCTGGAGCGCTCTCGAAGCTGTCCTGGAAACGTCTGGGGCTCCTCATGGAAGCATCTGGACAGTTCGCTCGGATCCCGTGGCAGGTCTCTCGGGGCCTCCGCGAAGCAGCTCCGAAGTCTCTTGGGGCCCGTTTCGGTGCCTGTCGGGAACCGTTATGGGGCCTCTTGGGGGCCTCTTGGGGGACCGTTGGGGGCCTCCTGGGAGCCTCATGGCCTCTTGGGGACCTTGGTGGCCTCCTGAGCCGTCTTGGGGCCCTCTTGGGCAGTCTTGGAGCCGTTTTGGGGGCCTCTTCGGCGATTTCAGGGGCCTCTTGGGCCGTCTTGGTGCGTCAGGAAGCCAAAGAGGCGCCAACCCAAACGAACGTCAAACACCTACAACAAACGAGCAGAAATTGCCTTTTGCGGCCCTCTTGGGAATCCTTTTGGAGGCATCTTGGGGCGTCTTAGGGGCCTCTTGGACCGCCTTGGGGCCATCGTGGAGCGACTTTTGGCCGTCTCGAGGCCCTCCTGGACCGCACCTCCGCCGCGACTTGCTGCCGAAGTGGCTTCTTGCAGGTCGCGGTGGCGGCCGCTGCGCCTGGCTCTTCACACTAGCTTGAATGATGTACACTGCAACTTCATAACAGTGCACATCTGTGAAAATGCTTCCTTTCTTCCTCATCTCCCTCTCTCCTCCCTGCAAGTCTTCTCTCTTCTGCCTCTACCTCTACCTCCTCTTCCTCCTATACTGCGCCTGGCTCTTCCTCGCGCGCGCCTCCCCAGACTCGGCGCGCGCGCGCTCAGTGGCACTGGCGGCTCGCGTCGGCTACCCGCGTGACAGACGGCGGCGTCCACGAGAGTTCTCCTTGGGGGACAAACAGTGACAGCAGCGCGAAAAAACTCCGAGGCCCGCGCGGGCTTCCTCGATCGGCGCGGGGAGGCGCAACGGCGATTCAAAACATCCCCGAGGACCTCCGAAATGACGTTTGCGCCATTGCTTGCTCCCCTTATATCCGAGGGTGCGCTGCGGGGGCGTCCACAAAAACCTGGCCGCCCCCCACCTGATTCTCAGTGCTCTGGGCTGCTGTCCTCGAGGCCTGGATGGGGCTCTGGCGGTTTGCAGCCACTTTGCCCCCAGCGCACCCTGCAAAGCCCAGCTTTCCACTGTCTTTGTGTGGCCGTGCCTTTGTGCGCACGGCGGCTGCGCCCGCGCGTTTTCACCAATGGCCAAGTGCAGAAATATGAAATGATATGGGGATGTGGGAACTATCTAATGCCTTTTCCTCCATCTATTCCCCGTTGCCCAAGCTCTCCCCCTCCCCCAGAAGACCCATACCTCCTTTTCCCACTTCACCGCTCCGATCATCGTCCTCACGTCCCTCATTGTTGTCTTCTTCGCTGTCCTCCTCCTGATCCTTCTCTCCCCGAAAGGGGGGCAGAAGTGTGGCCGTCGCCGAAGCGAAGGGGAAATGTCGAAGATGCCCACGACGTTCCGGGCAGGATCAGCCGCAGGCACAAGGAAAGAGGGAGAGAGAGACAAAGACGCAGACAGACAAATAGACAGACAGACAGACACAGACAGACACAAACAGACAGGCAGACAGACAGACACAAACAGACGGACACACAGCCAGACAGACAAACAGACAGAGAGACAGACAGGCAGGCAGGCAGGCACGCACGCAGGCAGACGGACAGACAAACAGGCAGACAGACAGACATGTATTAAACAAAAAACCTTCTCGCACGCTCTGGCTATGAAAAATATAAGGCAAAGCCAAAGCCAGGGCAATATCGGACCGAGGCAAATTGGGGAGATCTGTGGCCCGACGGTTCTGGAGGACGTGTCGCGCCGCGGCCGCGTCTAGGAAATGCTCTTAGAGCGCTCTGGAACGCTCTGGAACGACTTCTCCCAGTCCTGGCCGCGCCCAGCCATTGGCGGGAGTGGCGGGTGAGCAGCTCAGCATGGCCAATGGGGAATTGGAAAGGAGTGCGCAGTCTGGTCCAACCAACAGGCATGCGGCAGGTACCCAGGCGAGAGCGCCGTTCCGACAGACCGAGGGCGTTCCGGGTGGGCGAACGCACACCAAGGAAACAGGTTCTCGGATCCTGAGTGGGATACGCCAGGGCACGGGCGCTGCAGGCACAAAGCCGAGCGTGGTGTCGGGAGAGAGGATAGCAGTACCCATCAAGCGTAATTGTACGGTACATCAGAGCGGGAAGAGGGACAACATGGGTGCACTCGCGCCGATCTGACATCCTCCCCCTCCAAGCCATTACTTCCCATTGCTTGGAGGACCGTCATCATCAAGTGGCGACTGCAGGATTCGGCCCATCGTTTGCTGTATTAGCGGGTAGGGATGTAGAATGTACATGTGCATTTTGGCGGAAGAACGACGAGGAAGCATTAAGGTCCGAGTGTGTGGCCCGCGCCTTGGGTGAGTGAGAGCGCTGATCAGGGGAGGGGGCTAAGCACCGATCCCGAACTGCGGCCAACGGTTTAGCGCGACTACCATTTTTGAAGGTCGGCGGCGCACCTGGGGGGCAAGTGAGAAAGGGCGGGCCTTCTCAGAAGGCTCGGACGGCCTCTGCCCTTCTGAAAAGTCTTCTGTTCCCCCGAAGACACAGAAAAAACGTCTTCTCAGAAGGCCGGAGGGCTTCTGAAAAGCCCCGCCGCCCTCTGAGAAGGCCTCCTCCTTCTCACTTCCCTCTCTCGCTCGCCGCCGAATTCAGTCACTGCAGAAGGAGGAGCGCTCTTTCTAGGCCACGCGCCCCAAAAACTATTCCGGTCGGGCTAACAACGCCGGGCGCGCCCCAGCTGCAGAGCGCCGCTACAGCCCGATCACTCGCATGGAATACTTCCGCCAGCGCAGCAGAACGCGGCCGGAACACAGCCTTGCTGCAACGCGGCTGGACCGCTCCTGCCATCCTTTCAAGGGGCCCTTCACAGGGCGTGGAATCGTTCGGAAGCGCGATTGGGGAGCAGGGGTGAGCAGGAGGCAGGAGGAACTCGTTCGACGAGGAGGGAGCAGGGAGGAAGGAGGATCGAGGAAGGAGGCGGAAGACACGACTTGCATTCACTCGAAGGGAGAAGCGCGATGACCAAGGTATCGCGGAACTTAGTCGATGCCGACATTGGTCATGATCCATGCCAGCCATCGCCGCGATGACCAAGATGGACGGTGACCGAGGTCGACGCCGAAGGTTTGCGCGTTCAAGCTTGGTTACGGTCATCATTGTTTACCTCCATTTATGTTGGGACTCCCCCAACGGATCCTGAACAAAGAGGCAGCTGCCGCCGGGGCGAAGCCGCTAGACCGCCTATCATGGTCTCCGCTACTGTCAGTGCGACGAGCTCCCCGCCACCTTCAAAGACTGCTTGTAGAGGCCAGTGCGGTGGTTCTCCAGCTCGCACCTCCCATCCTCCTTTTCCTTCCCGCCAATGCTTCCCCCCTCAACCCAACGCTCCTCATTCCCCCTCCCCACCTTTCGACTCCTCCTCCCCATTCTCCTACTCCTGACGTGAAGCTGGAGGACGCCACTAGAAGAATAACACAACATGCGTAACCATCAACTTTCAGAGCTGCGCGCGGATCCCCTGGATTGGCGCAGGACCCCCCTGCATGGCGCGCTGGCGCAGCCCGGGGGGGGGGGACCAAGCGCCGACACATCTCTCGTCATCCGAGCCATCTCGTGCAGGCAGGCTCTGGGGCGAACCCGTGGCTGGGGCGGAGCAGCCCTGGGGCCCTCGGGCTCACCAGCGACCCGGCGGCGGGGCTACTCTGTAAGAACGGTTTTTTGAAGGCAGATCTGCCTTCAAAAAATGTTCTACTCTGTAAGAACGGTTTTTTGAAGGCAGATCTGCCTTCAAAAAATGGTCTACTCTGTAAGAACGGTTTTTTGAAGGCAGATCTGCCTTCAAAAAACCGTTCTTACAGAGTTGGCCCGTGGGACCTGTGCTCGGCCGACCGCAGCGACGTGCAGGGCGGCCGGCTCGGGCTCAACACGAGCAGGGCGTGCGGCAGGCCCGGGTCGCGACAGACCCTGGCGTTGGTTTCTGACGCCTCATGGATCGTTCAGCCTTCAACCATCGGCGGCTTCTCGATCGCCAGATCGTTCAATGTGGCGTATTCACTTTTTTTCAGGTTCGCTGCTTCTCTTGGCTGGTGCTAGCTTTCGCCGCAATCAGCGGCTCATCAGGCTTGAGCCTAGATTGGCTCTGGATTCGCACTCTACCTGCAAGGAGGAAAGACTGGTCAAATCGCAGATCGCCAGATCGTTCAATGTGGCGTATTCTGGGCCACTGGAGGCGTTCAGCCTCGAACACCCGTGGCAAAATCGCTGCCGCGTCGGCACGAGGCGACCCTGCCGTATGCAGGCGGCACCTCTTGCAACGTACGGGAGATACGTGGCCATCAGCAGAGAGGCGGCACAAACAGACGGCATACACACAAACTGTCGGAGGTCCGCACGGACTGCTTGGCACGGCCCTGGACCGACCTCCCCGGCGAGCGGAGCGCGCCAGGGGCGGCGCTCGAGCCTCCGCGCGCCAGGGAGGCGGGTTCAGCGCCGATCGAAGAAGTACGCGCGGACCTCCGAGGGTTTCTGTGTATGCCTTCATGCTATCCTTCGAGAGAGGGGGGGGGGGGGCTGCAGCCTATCGGTCCTCAACGCGCCCGCTCCAGAAAGGCGGGGCCTACCACGGAGCCGCTGCCGAGGCCGTCGGTGGACGCAGGCAGTCTTCAGAGGCGAGTTCGCGGCTGCGCTCGGGGGCCCTGCAAGTGGCATGCCCGCTGGGCGTCGCCCTGATCGCGGGAAATGGGGGGTCTGAGGCTTGGGAGGGATTCCTGTTTAGAAGGCGAAGGCCTGCGCGACTTGAGCCCAGATGCGAGGCTGAGCTCGAAGAGTGAGAAAGAAATGAGCTGGCAGCCCGCTTTGCCAAGGCGGGGGGCCAGGGTCGATCAGCACGAGCTCCCCCCTGGAATAGATAGGCGTACGTCCCTATGCACAACAAGTCAGTCTCGGATGTGTCAGAGCCTCCTCCGAGTCCTCCTCCCGCTCCCCTACCGTCCTCCTCCGACTGCTCATACTCCTGCCCTGTCCGTCCTCTTCATTCATCCTTCCTGCCTCTCCCCTACTTCTTCCTCCCCTCCCGCCACTCCTCCCCGTAACTTCCCCTCCATGGTGCGCCGATCCCCTGGGGCTACTGGGCGTGTGAGATCCTTGAACATCCCGAGACCCCTCCCCCAGGAGCCTCCCCCAGACGCCTGGACCGCTCGAGCCCCTTAAGTCGTCAAACTGACGACAACATGGGCCCAAATCGCTCCAGGCGGCCTCCCAGGTCTTGCAGCATGGTCAGATGTTGGTGCAAGATGGCCTTCCCTGTGCGTCCAAGATGTTCCAGGATGGTTCCATGAAGTCCAGAGGTTGCCAGGAAGCTCCCCAAGAGTGCCCCAACGAGACCAAGACCGCCAAACTACGTAAAGCTTTCAATACTGAAGTGGTGATCCTCTTGTTGTTCTGCACAAGATGGCTCAGGGAGTGCGAAATCGAGCCCCAAGACGACCCAATAGCGCCACAAGACGGACGGACCACCCAGACCCCAAGAGAGGCCATGACAACACAAGACCGCCTCCACAGAGGCCCAAGACGGTCAAATAGTATCCCAAGACTGTCCAGGAGGGCGCCAAGAAGGTTCAAGAGGGCCCAAGAGGCCCCCCGCGGGATCAGCGACGTGCCCTAATCGCGAAGGGTCGTTCACTGCGTGGTTATTGGCGGATTGGAACCCCCAGCAATGCTTGGAAAACCTGATCGGACAAGAACGGGCGGCGCCGATTTTGTCCATAGGGCTCGTATGGGGGGACACGAAGAAAAGGATGATGGTGACGACAAGGCGGTGGGTGTCCAGGATGGCAGCGTGGATGACGGGGAGTGCAGCGAGGGGGTCAGAAGGACAACGAGTAGGAAAACAAGCGTGAGGACGAGGAAGAGATGGAGGAGGACGAGTACGAGGAGGAAGTAAGTGGAGGAGGAGGAGAAGAATAAGAAGGACGACGACGACGAAGAAGGACGGTAAGGAGGCCAACGAAAAGGACGGCGAAGAACAGAGGGGTCCTCGTGATCTTTTGAGGCTACCCTGTGGGCTGTTGAGGCCGTCTGGGGCTATCTTGGGGCATCCTGGGGACCTCTTGGGGGCTTGTCGGGGTCCTCTTGGGGGCTACTTTGGGCTGTATGGGCATGTCTTAGGGTTCCTATGGTGTCTCTCTCATGCCATCTTGGCGCCTTTGGGGGCCGTCTTGGACCGTCTTGAGGCCCTCTTGGGCAGTCCTGGGGCCTCTTCTTGGGGGCCTCTTGGGGCGCTCTGGGGGCTCTCTGGGGCCGATTTGAAGCTCTCCGGGGGCGACTCCGGCGCGCATCCCCTCATCAGAGAAAAACACCTGGTTCCTAAAAACTGTCCACGCCGGAGGCGCTTCCCGTCATCCGCCACCGTGCCTCTGGGCATGGAGTGGGCGTGTCCTCGGGTCCTCTTTGCCTGATTCTCTGAGCTTACGACGGGCCTGCCTGCTACAGGCAGGTAACCAAAACATTGGTGCAACATTGGTGTCGGTTTTGCCGCCATGCTTGTTTCGGCGATTGGTTTCTTTGATGTATTATTGATGTTTGTTTGCTGCGCCCCCCTCGTCTGCTCAAATGTTGCTTGGCGCGCCGGTTGTGGAGGCCCGAGGCTCAGAGTCTGAGCCTCGGGCCTCGCTCCTCGAGAGCCTCGGAGGGGCCCGGGCCACGGAGTCTCAAGGCTCCCGGGGCTCGGCGCGTGCCCCCCATGGGGCTCCCCGCGTGCCCCCCCCGGGCTTTTGCCGAGTGGTGGCGCGTCCAGGCGTGCTGGCCCCGAGAGGGCTCCCGAACGGGCCAGGAGGGCCCCAAAGAGGCTCCGGAGGCGGCCCAAAAGGGCGCCGAGCCGCCGAGAGATCTGCCCAGGCCGCCCGAGATGGCCCCCAGAGCCGGGCCCAAGTGGCGTCCAAGGCGCCTCAGGAGGCCTCCAAGAGGGCTCCCAAGAGGGCCCCAAGAGACAACAATCGCTGATTTTCCTAAGGTTTGTGACACACGTCGGGCCAAGGGGCCTTCAAGACCACCCCAAAACGGCCCGAGGGGCGTCCAAGAAGGGCCCCAAGACGGCCGAAGGGCGCCCCACGACGGCCCAACCCAAGAGGGGCCCCAGAGAGGGAACACGAACCCCAAATCCTAGACGCCCCCAGGAAGCCCCAAGTGGCGCCCAGGAGGCCCCAAGAGGCTCCCGAGAGGCCCCAAAGAGGCCCCAATAGGGCCCCAAGAAACTTCAAGAGGCCCCAAGACGCCCAAAAGAGGCCCCAAGAGGCCTCCCCAAAGCCCCCA